CATTGTTTTTAGATGGAACACCTACTTGCATCCATCTTTAAGATGGATGCTTCACATTTTTTGGATCGTATATGTAAAAATACGGTCCAGGCCACGTAAAACAATTTTCCTTTTTTAAAATGAAAAAGGTTATTTTATGTTTTAGGTAAAGGAGAGTGGTCGTTTGGATATTGAAACTTGGAAGTAGCGTCTTTGGGTATAAGGTGCCCTCCATATATTGTAAAAGTAAGGCGCCCCTCTAAAAATGTGTTTGGAGATTGTACTTCTCGGATCGAAATGAAAACTACTTTTATTCTTTATGAATTTTGAAATTATTAAAATTATATAAATTGATTAAATCTATGACCACTTGTAAATCTTGAAAATAGGTGGTCTAAATAACTTGTTCAAGATGTGTCATTTGTAGGACTTAAATATTATTTTTTTCTTCATATCCATACATCTCGATATCGAAATGATCAATTAATTGGAGGGCTCTCCAACTTCAAGACACTCTTCCTGAGAATTTTTTAGGATGTATTTTACTTCTATTTTTTGATAATGTTACTTATGCTTTATTGATCAATCAAAAGTTACAACCAATCAAAAAGGAAAAACATCTGAAATAACCAACTGATGCAAAGATACCCCTCGTTTTACCAAACCGTCAGCAATGTCATTAGCTTCCCTATACACATGTTGAAAACAGATTTGTAGACAGTCGCACATATGTATAATATCTAGCCATTTCCTCCTCAAATTCTAAGGTGACCTGGAAGTCTTTTAAACACCAATTAATTACATTCAAGGAATCCCCTTCTACAAAACATAACATCCTGATATTTTTCTGACGTAGAATCTAAATTCCACATTCCAATGCAATCAATTCTCCCTCATTAACCGTTATCTCCCCACATGAGCCAGCAAAACAAAATTGTGTTATCTCACCTCTCCATTTGCATCACGCACAATTCCTCTAACCCCAGATATAGGCTATATTTTACTTCAATAATATAAGATTGAGACCTTATATAAGTGTTTTTTGTGTTTTTTTTCTTAATTTACATGCTACTGTATGGTTTAATAAAGGTGAGGGTTTCAAATTTTCCATTAACCGGTTCCAAACACGAGTAAAAGAATTAGGTTGCGTTAGGTAAGCAACCAACATAAAAACTTTACCACATCTTATCATGAATCATGAACTTATATTATGAATAGAAAAACATAATTCACATAACAGCACTCAAATAATTGGGATAAGTCTTGAATGATAATGATGATGATCATATACATGCTGCTATTTGCAATTTAAAAATACGTAGAGGAAGAAAGGCACTCCATTGCCATGGAAGTAAATACCCCGAGATCATGGTCCCCCTTAAAATCAGTGGCTCACTGTAAACGCCCAAGGCACTCTCTCTCTCCCCTAATGCTCCCACTCTCCCTCGACGGACCTCAGCCAAATCACCCGACGCGAGCACGACTCGAGTCACAAGCCACCACCAAGTCAGGCCAGTCATTTTAACAAAAAATCAAGATTTAGGTGAAACTAGGGTGATTACGAGTTCTAATCACTCCTATTTCTTTTTATAAGGAGTCGCCGGTTGAGGCTAAAAAGAAGGCTTAGAATTCATATAAGGGGTTTTGGTTCAATTAAAGCCTACCTCAAAAATAAGTTTTACTAAAAGAGGTCGACTCTAAACAATCAAATTAGAGCCTACCTTAAAAATTTCACTAAAAGAGATTGTTTTAATGCCCAAATATCATCAAATTGATCATCTTGACATCAAGATGCATGAACATGTGAAAAAAAATAGAGTTCAATTTTTGAAAATAATGTATTTTGTAACACATTGTTGGACCGTCAATTTTCAAAATTTTCAAGCTTTCATAGATCTATCGATCTACATTATTTTTTTAAGC